AAAGCAAGTATACCAGGGGAAAGCGAGTGAGGACCACAATGGTGGGAAGGACTCCTATACTAGACATAAACATGCTGCTTCAATTTCCTGATAAAAATCCCAACTGTGCAGTACATTTGGTACAGACTAGAGCTGCAGCCAGAGGGACTCGGGTGGCACTGTGGGTTAAACCACAGACCCTAGGACTTGCCAATCAGAAGGTCGGCGGTTCAAATCCCCATGACGGGGTGAGCTCCCGTTGCTCTGTCCCTGCTCCTGCCAACCTAGCAATTTGAAAGCACATCAAAGTGCAAGTAGATAAGTAGGTACTGCTCCGGCGGGAAAGTAAACAGCGTTTCCGTGCGCTGCTCTGGTTCGCCAGAAGCGGCTTAGTCATGCTGGCCACATGGCCCAGAAGCTGTACGCTAGCTCCCTCAGCCAATAAAGTGAGATGAGCGTCACAACCCCAGAGTCGGCCACGACTGGACCTAGGGGGTCCCTTTACCTTTTAGAGCTGCAGCCAGAAAAGGGCTAGGCTGGGTGTATTTCAATAGGACTTCCACTCACAGCAATTCTCCAAGAGACTAAATGTTCTCTTCCCCACCTCACCCTGCCACTGATCTGAGTCTTGAGTAGACCCCAAAGCCATGCCCAAGTGCCAAGCAGAACAATACAGAATGTCAGGTTCTGAATGCACTTTTCCTGCTAAAATCAACAGGGATGTCTAACCGCAGAACATTACCAAGCAGATGGGAGGAAGTCCTTTTCGGCATGTTGTCCATCTGCAGTGATTGAGCATCAGCCCATTCATCTTAGCCCAGCTTACAGGCAGGGAGCATCAGCCTCACCTCCATTGTGGGTCCTCTTCCACCCTCAGCCAGTTCAGCTGCTCTTGCCTGCTACTGCCACTCTGGCAGCTGCGCTGGGCCACTTGAAGGAACTCTGTCATTCCCACACAGCTTTATGTTGACTTCCTGAGTTTTGTCCTGTCATGGGAATGAGGTCGCTAAGTTCAAATCATTAATTTCTGAGGTGGAAAGAGGCTGACAGGCCCAGCCCTGACAGGAATGATGATGGATATACAGGAGAGACCGAGCAAAACCTGCTGCTTAATCATATAGCAAGGGTCTCTTTGGGGCACTAATGCAGTCCAAGTGCTTTCCATCCAATTGCACCTTTTACACTCTAAATACTGGCAGCTGTTGCTATGTGGCCGCTGTTCTTCAGACATGATGGTATGCCCGGCAGGGAGTATCATTTCTGCTTTGCCAGAACATGCATCTTCTCACCACCCCAGTTCACACACCACAGCTTGGTTTCAATCCCAATATAATATCGAGTTATAGGACTCAAAGTTAAACCTGGCTCTTGTGGTTTATAGATGTTAGAACTCTGGGGGTTTGGGGGGGCAGTTAACAAAGTTGCCTTCTCTCAACTAACCCCTTGCCCTCCCCCCCAAATCCCTCCAGTCCAGGGATGAGAAATCTGTGGCTCTCCAGATGTTTCCACCATTCTGAACATTTGTTATGCTGACTGGGTCTGATAACTTAAGGTGGGTCAAGAAGAGGCATCACCACCACTACCACTTTCCTGGAAAAGAGATGGATTTGCAATAGCTCAAATGTGTAATAAAGAAGGTGTGTGCAATAGCTCTGCCAGGGGAAGTTTTGGTAGCTTTATCTTTTCTTGGCACCTTATACTACTTATAGGTAAAAACCAAAATGGTCAAAGGCCTGGAAATGATGCCTTATGAGGAACGGCTAAGGGAGCTGGGCATGTTTAGCCTGGAGAAGAGGAGGTTAAGGGGTGATATGATAGCCATGTTCAAATATATAAAAGGATGTCACATAGAGGAGGGAGAAAGGTTGTTTTCTGCTGCTCCAGAGAAGCGGACACGGAGCAATGGATCCAAACTACAAGAAAGAAGATTCCACCTAAACATTAGGAAGAACTTCCTGACAGTAAGAGCTGTTTGACAGTGGAATTTGCTGCCAAGGAGTGTGGTGGAGTCTCCTTCTTTGGAGGTCTTTAAGCAGAGGCTTGACAACCATATGTCAGGAGTGCTCTGATGGTGTTTCCTGCTTGGCAGGGGGTTGGACTCGATGGCCCTTGTGGTCTCTTCCAACTCTATGATTCTATGATTCTATGGATGGAGGAAATACAAACAGAAAGGCTCTGTATTTAGGGTGTTTTCCCTTTTTCCTGGGAGAGGGGTGTAAAGTTAATTAACTGTGGGGCAAGCACCAAGGACACCTCTCCTCATGCCTTAGTTACTAAAACTATCAGCAGATCAATGATATTGTTAAAAGTATGCCATAAAGTCAATCGACTAACTGGGCACTGGGGAGGCAGCAACTTCTAAGGTATGATAGGCCTACAGCCAGTATGAGGTAGGGGTTATGAGTGTCAGACTAGAACCTGGAAGACAAGGGTTCAAATCCCCACCCAGCCATGAAGTTCACTTGGTACCCTTGGGCTGGTTGCCCAACCTAATCTACCTCACAGGGTTGTTGTGATGATTAAATGGAGGATGAAATAGAGGAAGGCCTACAGAAGTAACCTTCTAATGAGTCTTCAGGTCCTTGGTGATTGGTTATGATCATGATATGCATTACTGTATCATGCAAAAAATAATAATTATACAGTATGGTATTGTATAAACGTACCATATTTTTCCGTCTATAAGACGCCTCCAAGTATAAGACGTACCTATTTTGGGGGACTCAGATATAAGAAAATCCACTCTCAGCACTATCCGTGCATAAGATGCCCCCTAATTTTTGACATTATTTTTTTAGGGGGGGAAACCTAGTTTTATACATGGAAATATATATATTGGAACTTCACTGCTGTGGTGTAGTTATTATTTGAATGACCCTTTTATTCAGCAGTCAGATGTTTCAGAATGCACTTATGTGTAATTACACACAGTTTTGCATCTTATTGTTTGTTGTGAACTGGAGTCCTCTGAATAACCATGGCAGTTACAGGACCCATAAAGTCAGGAAAAGTCAATATTTACAGGGAGAAATAGGGGTCCCCAGCACATTTCATCAAAACTGCATGCAACAGCAGCAAAAGTTCACCATGCCCTTGGAGCTTGGTTGCCCCTCTGCTAAAAGTTGACAAAATGAGAGGCTAAATAATGGTTGGGAAGGGAGCACCTTCATACTGACGACACTTGTTGCAGACAATAATGAAATAAGAATATCTGAGAACTTTTTGAAGCCTTCTCATGCCAAATATTTGGCCATATTCATTAATGGTCATGTAACAGCTGAATGTGTTAACTCAAGCTTCTTCTTGTTGGCATCTGTCTGTCAATGGAGTGTGCCTCTGGGGGGAATTCAAACTCATGAAGAATCACTGCATCTGTAAGACTGCAGAGACCAGTAGCTGCTGCCTCCTGTATAGTTTTTGCTGTGTTAGCAGCACCAAAGTTACCTCTCTGTGGCGCAAGCCTGGGCAGTTTGCATGGAGGTCTGGGGCTGCCCAGAGAAGACCTCCCTCTTGGCCTTGTTGATGTGCACCAAAGGAAATAAGAGCAATATGTTTGGCACCAGCTTGGGTGCAGGAGTTGCCAGGAGGCAGCATACAAGCACCATCCAACTGTCTTAGGGATTCCACTCTGGATTTGTGTAGGGTTTACTCCTTAGCCTTCTCTTCTCCTGCAGGTGTCCCTTAAGGCAGCAGGTACAGATTTTTCCCTGATGTTTATTCTCAAAGCCTTTCTCATGAATGAGAAGAGCCACAAAGCACTTCAGGATCAGAGTTTTCCTTCTTCTACTTTTGCAGGCTGACAAGCCCCATCTGTCCCTCCTTTCTGCACATGCAGAAATCACCTTCACCATTGGACCCACCCAACCTCTCAAACCGCTGCAGCCTGTTTTTGCACATAGGGGAAGTCTCTAACTCACCAAAGAGAGACCCATCAGCTGCCCTCACATGGTTTAGCTGACCAGTTGAAGCAGTTTTCTGGGATGTGGCCGCTGTTGCACGCTGACAGCTTCTAGGAGCCACAGGTGAATGCTTAGTCCACAGTAGTGACCAAAGGTGGACAAACCACCCCCAGAAGAAGCACAGTGTGTATCCCACCAGAGGTACTACCCCTCCCCTAACACCCCATATACGCCACAAGCTTCTTAGTAAACAGTTTTATACAGTTATAAAGATGAATGGACTATAGGCTAAAACTGAATCTGGCCTAATTTAAAATTAAACCATCCTGTTTTCCCAACCCCCTCCATCTCAAGCCCTCCTATTCTTACCTTATGCTGATTCTGAGCTCAACTTATTTCAAGACTACAGTAGTGGTTTTTTTCAGGCTAGAAACCACAAGCATACATCTACAGAAGCTTATCTTCCTGTAAAAACTGAGGTTTTCATTAGGCAATACAGTCCCCTTCTGGAATCAATAACATTACTTAGGAGTCCTAAATCACCACTGGTAACACTTGGGATGTAAGCCATTTATTACATTTTCATTTCTAGGGAACTACCAAAGGTTGTGCAGGTGTTATATTTACACCCCTACCTCTGAGCAAAGATTGGCTAGCCATCTTGTCTTGCAATTAAAATGTATTTTATTTTTAATAAATGATTAAATATATTAGAGATATGTGGAGGTGTTAACTTCAATCTCAGATCTCTAGAAGCTGATTTCATAGTATTGGCGGTGAGTCTTGGAAGACCTGCTCCCTGCCTTGCAGGCCTTTTCCTACCTGCCCTAGGAAGGTGGGGCCCTGATGGACTCCAGTTACAAAAGCTGAGGCAGCTGAAGAGGCTGGAGACCAGCTTATCTGTCTCTTATTGTAGACCCAGAGAGCTTTCACAGCCTCCACCATGAACCACCATTGGCAGGATTAGCAACAACAGCAGCAGATACATTCTCTGATTAAGATAATATTTTATTTTCTTGTTAATTATTCTCTTTTAAATGTACATTTTATATTTGACTCCATTTAGTAATGTTTTCTTTTGAAATGTTTTCAATTTTTTTGTGTGAACTTTGATGTAAGTTTGGGCAGATAGCTCAGTCAGTAGAGCATGAAACAAGACTCTTAATCTCAGGGTTGTGGATTCAAGCCCACTTTGGGCAAAATATTGATTAGTCTAAATGACCATTGTGGGCCCTTTCAACTATTCTATGGCTAAATATGCATTCTGTAGTTGACCTCCTTTGTAATGGTTCATTTTGAAATCTTTCAAGTTAATATTTTAGTTTCCTATTAATTATCTTGTATACTTTATATTTGACTTTCTTCAGTAACGTTCCATTCTAAGTTGTTTTATTTGATGTTTTAATGTGCTGTGAACTGCTTTGAAATTTTTCTTTCTTAAAAATATAAAGCAGTATAGAAATGAAGTGAATAGGAGTCCAACATCCACCGTCTTTCCTCCAGAAGAGGAAGCCTAGAAGGAGTTGCTGATAGTTAAAATGTCAGCTCACAAAAGTAACCCTTCCATGGATCTTCAGGTCCCCGGCAGTTGATTATGATCATCAATTGTATCCTGTACAATTATTAATAACTTTACAAAAAAAGGACCAATAAAATATACAATGATCAACAATCTCATGTAGCCTCAGTACAATGTAATTACACATCATTGTATTCTAAAATATCTGACAGTGCTGACTAAATATTTAACTGATGTGTTTCAACTTCTGTCACTGAAGAAGACTTTATAAGTTGAAATATGTCTGGCATGTTTTTCAAAGAACATCTGGTTGGCGCAATTATCATCAGCAGGATACAATTGTTTTGGACAACCATATCTTGGAATTTCAATGCTGTGGTGTAGTTATTATTTAGTGATACATTTAGTCAGCACAGTCAAATGTTTTATAACCCACTGGTATGTAATTACATGAAGTTTTTGCAACTTGTTGTTGAGAAACTACGCAAGCTTGCTGGTTAATAATTGTATATTTTATTGGTCTTTCGAACACCTATTTTCTTTGTACAGTTTTTTATTTTTAAACACCATACAGCATAGGATTGCAGAGCTGGAAGGAACCCCCAAGAGTCATTTAGTCTAAGTAATGTTGAGTATGACCCCCCCCCCAACAACCCTTTGAGTTAGATCAGGTTGACAGATATGAGTGTATCAAAGTTTCATTGCTGGACATGGATTTGAACGCAACACACTAAGCCACACCACCACACTGGTTGTCAACAACCTAGAGGTAAAGAAGATTCAGAAAAGGTAGGCAGGTTGATTAGGTCTATCAGTCCTAGACAAAGCCCTGGTAGTCAGCAAACTACAGACCTACCATAACATGGTAGTAACATGGGCTGGATTTAAGTAGCTGATACAGAACACACATTTGTGAGCTGGTCCATTATAAATAGCATTCCTCCAAGTTTGAAAACCAAAAAGCAAGTACTGCTGCTCAATGTCTCTTTGTTCAGGAGCATCTTTTAATAACAAAATTAATACTTGTTTGTTTGTTTGTTTGTTTCCCCGTTAATATCTCCCCAATGATACTTAACATTAATTACTACATTTAAAGGAAGTTCCGTCTTCATTACTGTCATCACCCCTTTCTCTTCTCATCTTGAACATCTGAAATTTGTTTTAGGTTGTGGTGGGGTGCATGAGTGGAATATGCAAAAGCTGAATGTTATTTATTCGCTTTTTTAATTTGTGCAATGTCAAGTACAAAGGAATCAATATTTTTGTCATTACGCCTGCTGTCATCTCTCCCCCCCCCCCCACTAACCTCCCGCAGCACCATAATCTTAGCTGTCATTTGAGTTTTAATTGTGTTGTTTCCTCTTGTGTGTGGAAGTAAATCTTATCTGTTTTGGATTAAAATTCAATGAAGGTCACAGCGGCTCGAAAATTTACCAGGCTGCTGCAATTAATGTTCATTTGGCTTTGATAAATTGGAATGTTTCCCCACAATAGGAGTGGAGTGGATTTCAGAAGCCATAATTCTTCCATTACCTCAATGATTTCCCTTGCATGATGGAGCAACCTGTCACTGCTCTGTTTGTCATCTGTCACTTCAAGGTTCTGGGCATATGCCTGATATGATTTATTATGATTATTTGGGCTGCTTGTGTCAAAACATTTAAAACCACTAATTATTCTTCCCCTGTAAAATGCTGAATTAAACAAAATGAACAACGCACCCCTCCCTCTGCTCTGCTTATTCCCCAGCTTAATTATAATTCCCGGTCATTATAAATCCTCGCTAAGGGCTTCCTTTCACATGGTTTATTTCTGAGACAATGGCTGGTTTAGAATCTTTTAAGAGGTGTACCTGCAGGTTCTATCAAACCAGGTGGTGATGGGAAGTGCCACGTAAATGACATGGTACTTCACACCAGCTCACATCTGTTGCTTCTTTGCAAAAAGGCAACTTTCCCAATGGCTGAGTTATGAAGCTATGCAACTACCTTCAGCGAGGAAAGCAAATTTAGTTCTTTAATTAAAACCTACTAAAAAACCTTTTTTCCCTAAAAAAAAAAAGGAATTCCTTAAAAACCCCAACTTTAGTCAGTGTCAGGGTTATCCTAAGTGAACCACAATCCAGTAACAGCAACTTAGGTTCTGTGCTCAAAATAAATCATGCTAATTAATGCACCATATGCAAATATGCTGATGGTGAATTAATCTGCTCAGCCTGCATATTTTTGCACAGTGATTTATTACAGTGATATATGTACTAATATGATATATTCTGCAATCCACAGGCTAGGGTTTTGTCAACTTTTCAAAACTGACCCCCTTTCTAAAGTTATTCATCTTTCAATGCAGGCCTGAGGTTGTGGCTGAGTGCTCTGAGGGGGAGGAGTTACAGCCTAGAGGAAGCCAGGCTGAATTGAGGGAGGAGTTAGCAGCCAGCAACAGTCAAACTTAGCTCTTTGCAGATTCTGGGAGCTCATGAACAGGGGAGTTTAATGGGGAGGCCCAGAGGACCATCTCACAGTGTACATAGGACCAAGAGACATGGAAGGCAAGGCAGCTGCTGCAGTGACTTGCAGCACCTCTGCCATGTTTGTCTTTCTGCCAGAGAATATGCAACAGTACACTTGCATCAAGTGCAAGCTGACTGTCTTGATAGAAGAGAAGGTGCAACAAACTTGAGTCCTGCCTAGCCACAGCTCGAGCTACAGGACAGCATGCAGAATTTCTTGATAGAATTGAGTTGGCTGTGATGGAAAAGCAAGATAGATGGGGTGTCCCCAAGAACGAGGAAGATCACCCATTGCAAGAGACTAACCTCTGGAGGAATGTGACACATAGAAGTAGGACAGTCACAAGCCACGTTTTATCATTAGAGTTGCAAAATTGCTTCATGCTCTTACCTTGGGGACCAATTCTCAGCCAGAGGAGCTAGGGCAGCAGGTGCCAACCTCAAAAGACACCAAGGGGGCTGTGGAACGTACAGTGCACAGAAGGATTCCTGCCACCCCCCAGAGGAGAAAGAAGACAGGAGGAGATGGACTTGAAGGAATCTTTTTCCATTCTTGATCTAACCACTTCATATCCAAGGCTCTTGATCGTGGATGTGTATGGTAATAACGTACTTGCTACCTTCCATGGAGACGATATCGGAGAAAGGGAATTGCTCAAACCATAAGATTTCTGCCTTTGTAACTGATCTCAACAACATCAAAATAAGCTCCAATACACAAGAGGGGATGACTGAAGTTAAGATGATGTAGACCTTAGAAGACTCCAAGCAGGCTTTGGAAGGCACAGTACATGGAATGATTCCTGCCACTCCCAAGAGGAGGAAGAGATGTGTGGTGGTGACAGGTGACTCCCTACTGAGGGGAACAGAAGCAGTTGTGTGCAGAAGAAACTGGATATCCCAGGAGGTGTGCTGTCTTCCAGGGGCAAGATTCAAGATGTGACAGAGAAGTTGTGAAGTCTTATGAAGCCCACTGACCACTAACCTGATTCATGTGCATACTAATAATACTTCCATACACAGCCCTTAATGTATAGCAAAGGACCAAACTGCGGGAGGCAGTGGAAGACAGGAGTGCCTGGCGTGCTCTAGTCCATGGGGTCACGAAGAGTCGGACACGACTATACGACTAAACAACAAATGAGTCTATGCACAGGAAGCTGAAAAGCCTTGGGACACAGGTGGTGTTTTCATCACTCCTTCCTGTTGAAGGTCATGGCCCAGGAGGAGTGAGGAAAATACTGGAGGTAAACCACCGGCTGCACAGTTGGTGGGGTCAGGAAGGGTTTGGCTTCTTGGATCATGGTCTGTGCTTCCTTGAGGAAGGAATTATGGGAAGAGATGGGCTGCACCTCACAGCCGTTGGCAAGAATGTGTTTGCTAGGAGTCTCGCAAACCTGATCAGGAGACCTTTAAAGTAGAACAGGGGTCCTCAAACTACGTTCCGCAGGCCAGATCCAGCCCGCCCATTGCCCAGGATGACCACAGTCAACACGAGCTTCCTTCCCTCTGAACCGCTACTACTGCAAGCAGCTGGGTCCAATCCCTTCCAGCTTCCGGCAGCGCCTCTTTCCTTTCCTCCCTCTTACTTGGTCGCCCTCCACTCTCATATCTCCCCCCCCCCATTGAAATACTTGTAAGTTTATTGTGATTAAAATTGTTCTTCAGTTTAAATATTGTTTTGTTTTTCCTGTTTTTTTGCGCACTACAAATAAAATATGTGCAGTGTGCATAGGAATTCGTTCATATTTTTTAAAAAACTATAGTCCAGCCCCCAACAGTGTCTGAGAGACAATGGCCCCCTGTTTAAAAAATATGAGGACCCCTGAAATAGAACTTGAGGAGGAAGGGGACAACATTACAGATGACAGAAGAGCACCTGGTACTGGGGATAATAGCTTCACTAATGTGCAGGAAACTGAGGTAGTGCTCCAGAAACCTGCCAAAGAGCAGGAAACTACAAGAAGGAAGCAGATGGAGGGAACATCTTATGGTTCCAGTTGTCTGTACACAAATGCACAGAGTATGGGAAACAAGCAAGACGAATCACATCTTTTAATACATGATGGCAAATATGACCTGGTAGGCATTACTGAAACCGGGTGAGATGAGACCCATGACTGGAATGTAGGAACTGATGGGTATAACCTGTTCAAAAAGAATAGACCAAA